CCCCAAAACCCCAAAACCCCAAAACCCCGTCAATGAGTTATATACTGATTGAACGTTAGTGATTAGTTTAATCAAAATGTAACCTATAATAATCAATTAATAATTGAATTATCAAAACATCATTAATTTTTTAACATTAACTATTTATCCAGAGTAAATTCTTCAATCTCTTTAAATTCATTTACATTTTTGACTAAGTCATTAATTTTACTCTATATGTTTAAATTACTCAAAGATTTTATCTTCGGCAGTGACAGAACTCCTTTCATGTATCTGCTTTTTATATCACTATTACTCATATTGCCGCTTCCAAGCCCACCAACAGTAGTTATTGTTCCTTCTATAGTATAATTTGTGGTGTCAACTGCCATAACAGATTCACTATGCTTTTGAGGTTAGTGCTTAATCAGCGGTAAAACTAATATTTGAGAACTACTATTTACTAAACTTTATTCTTAGTGTTAGGCTTTCAATTATTAAATTGGAGATGCTATTCCAAAAGATTATTGTTACTTTTGCTGACTAAAGACTGGACTAATCAAGTTAGAGGTGAAATTATTCACCTTTTTGTTATTTTATATTGAGATCATCAAATTTCTATTAGACATTAGATGATTTGCATTCAAATGAAAACTAGTTTTTAGCAATGGTGTTTAATGAGTTGAAAAGGATTGCGCATTGTACTTAGGTATATTTAAATTAGATTGGTTGTTTCTTGATTACGGTTTAGAATAATTATCTTAAATGTGTATTAGATCATTGTTGCTTCTCTATTTTATCATTTACTACTGAAATTTCTTGTAAGCTAATATTCTAGGAACAAACATTTCTTTGCTTTTAAGCTAATTACTTGATTAAATCATATTATCTTTGGCTTAATCAGAATTCTAGCTAAATATGTCATTTTACTCGGCTAATTACTCATTTTAATTATCATCAGAATCTTCTCCCTCGTCTATTTTTAAACTAAGTCTAGAAGTGTTTTAAATCATGGATATCTCATTCCTTCTCAAATTATTAGTTTCTTTATGTTCGATTTAAGAAGACTTCTTTTACTTGTAAAACGTGCCTCTCATTTCTTGTAATTTAAGTGGCTATGTTATGGTGTCTATTGAAATTGATTTGCTCTTATATTAGAAGAAGGTACTCTTAGCTAATGTTTTTCGCTTCTTCTTTGTTTTATTCTTACTTTATTCTTCAAATTTGAGATTCGTCATTTAGTTAGCTTCAACTATCGCAGCTTGAGTAGCTTCAAGTACCATATCTTCTCTTTTTTGTTCTTTTTCACTCATCAAAGAATATTTCTCAAATCCCTGCAATTCTAGTTTAGCTTTATTTTGGCTAAGTTGCATGATGTTGAACTTCCTAGGTTTCCTGTTTAATCCTTATCAATTAGGCATCTTATGTGAGCTCATATTAGCTTGCAATTTCTAGTCTTAAAGTCTCTTTTGAATGAGTTCATTGTCTATTTACGATAGCTTAAATTGCATTTATCGGGTCCAAGTCTTCTATTATTCTTCAAATTTTTTTCCGAAAGTCCTATTTGCTTCCATTATAATTGATAAATATTTATTGAAATTTGATAAAATAAATACATTATTGCAGAGCATACGTTATATAACATTCAGTAATTTAACTTTAACTACTAAAGTTGAAGGACATATTATAATTAAATTGTATATTGCAGGCAAAAATAAAATGAGTAGAGCTAATTCGATACTTATCAAAGATATGAAAAGTTATGTCTCGCCTAATCACGATACAGGGTTGAGTCCTTTCTAACATGAAGATTTATTGTCTAGACTTGAATCATCTTCGAGTAATCAGCAACTTAATCATAAGAATATTGCTATGAATAACAATCATATTAAAAGAAACCAAACCCATGATTTACAATAAGAATAAATAGGGCTTGCCAAATAGCAGAGGAAAAACCATTCACTATTTACTACTACCACCAATTAAGCTTACAACAATAGTAATCTACCACCAAGTAAGTACTTACTAATAATCATAACTTTCAAATAGTAATGAAGATAAATTTTGATTCGCTGTCAACTAAGCAGATCGAGCATTACAACATAACAATAAAAAACCAGGAAAATCAAGGATAAAAGGAAGTCAAAAGAACTTTCCTTTTGAAAAGACAAATGAGTGAGACTAGATTTTAAGAATACAAACGATAGCAGCATGAGAGGTTGAATGGAAAGTAAAACTTAGAGAGTGCTGATGACTTCTTATCCTCAGAGAAAGTACAGAAAAGTAAGAATTCTTAAATCTATGAAGCATTGAATTTCAATTATTTATTGATAGATAGGCAAAAGCTCGTTAGAGTTGATGACGAAGGGAAGGTTCAGAAGAGGAGCATTTTAGGCACACCTGATGTTTACAACCTAGGACAGAGGAAGATTTCAGAGTAGTTGAAACCTAAAAAGATACCAACTAATAGCACTCTTGGAAATTCATAGCCTAATATACTTAAAAGCTCAATTTAAACGCCTTAAAGTAGAATGATTCGTAACAACAGGACATCAATTCATGATATTTCCTCAACTAATAGTAATTAACCCTAATAGGGAAAGGTTGTATTATTCTAGGGAAAAAACTAAGTTCAACAATAGAAAATAGTGAGTAACCAATATTTGGATTAGATGAGTAAATTGATCCAGGATAGAATCTTTGAAAATTAACAATAAGATGATAAGATAATGTCTTAAATCCCACTTGGTATAAAGTTAAAGCAAACTCAGTCATAGAGAATATTGTAGTAGTATGATCACATCAAAGACTTCTGGCAGAAAAAGAAAGAGCACTTTGCTTAAAAATCAAATAAAGCTTTCGTAGATCTTAGTGTAATGCAGTAGACAGATGAGTATAGGAAAAAATTGGAGACTTAAGAGTTGATTGATAAGACCTTCCTTAATATAGAGACCTTAGGCTAAACACTTTGGAAAGCCAATCTCAGAAATCATCACTCAGGCGACAATAACCCCAAAGCATTGTCTTCTAAATTTCTAAGCAAGACGAATCAATCCTAAGAAGCCCTTAAAAAATTAGCACTCAAAGAGCAAACAATCTTAGAATAGAAAGAGAGTTCAACCACATTCCTGATGTTGGAAAGCTTAAACTCATGCGCTGACATATCAAGTGTATATCTCGATCGTACATATAAGCCCACTGAGATAATAAGAACACCTAATTTTGATAAAGCTAAATAGTATCAAGAATTGACTGGTTCTATAATCTTTGATAAAACTAACGAGAATGCAAAAGCAGACTCTCCAACAAAAGGTGGCTTAGTAGACTCACAATTAGAAATGATGGCCAGCCAGTCAAAATGGATAAAGAATTTTAACCAAGACATAATAATAGAGGAGGAAGACCCAGCAATGTATAAAACCACAGAAAGCATCAAGTCTATTTTCATAAACTAGATGGGTGAAACTTAGAGAAGCAGATTTTAGAATAGCAATAAGGTCTCACTCAGAATATAAGACCTTGATACAGAAACTTAATCTCGAATGGGAATAGCTAACTTTCATCGAACTTCTTAGTTTTCTGGCATGAAATCGATGAGCTCCACAATGAGCAGGCAAAAGAGACACTCTCTTGAAATGTAGGAGCAAACCATCAATCAGTTCAAGTAAACTCACTCTCACTTGATATCACCTACCAGGGATGATGACGCTGAACTTCTCTGTATTCAAGGGACAAGCAAACTGTAGCTTGAACTACAAGGAGCTAAGAAAATAAATGATCCTAAGATATTATTACCACACGAAGCAATTAATGGAGAGTTTGAAGACAGCAAGGACCGAGATGAGATTATTGCTATTGACTATGATTAGAGATTATTTTACTGAGATTTGAATTACTAAGGCTGATCAATTGAAGGTAACAATATTGCTTTTACTGCTTGATGAATGAGTATAAATTTGGAAATATTAATTATTAATTAATTTAAGTTGATAAATATCACTATATATTAAATGGATACGACAACTAATTAAAACAGCTAATACTACTAATCAAGAGATCCAACTCAGACTAAAACTATAAGACTTAAAAATCATAATCCTACCTCCTTAGAAGAGCCCTCAACAATGAGAGTAGCTGATAACAGTCTTTAGGATCAAATGAAGCCAAAGCTAAACAGAGACTCGAAGTCACAGTCCTCTTTACCAGATATTCAAAATATCGGGTCTTAGAAATCAGCTTAACTTCTCCCTAAAACCAAGTAAGAGCTTGAGTTCGAGTACTTAGGCGAATACTCCATGAGTCCCACGAATCAACTGGACTACAGCAAGCACATTACAACTAAGAATATAATGAGCAATTTGAAGTCTCTTAATGAATACATGGATAAAAGATTCCCCAAGATTGGAGGAAATGCAGGAAACACAACTGACAAGCAGGGAAAGAAGAAACCACTCAATACTAACGTCAATATGCATATACCTCATAAGTCTCAGAGAAATGCATATGGCGATTTCTATAAGAACCTAATGTCTAATCACGGAGGCAAGTACGTAGATAAAGTAGTCAACAGCGCTATTAGTCCAAATGGATTCAAGGGAAACACAATTGATGGAAAAAGAAACTCTTCGCTTTATCTCCTTGATGTGAACGCTCCTCTTCAGTCCAGATTCAATGGCCCTCTAAATCCAATAGCTTAAATGCATTCTGCCAAGAATTCCTTTGTTTAGATGATTAATCTGCTCTCTTAAGTTGAGAAGAGTGATGAGAAGCAGCATAGAACCATCGTTGAGTACAAAAATGAAGAATAGAGTGTGAGTAACGAGGGTAATTACATTTAAGACTTTAAAAAAAGATTCTAGGATAATAGCACAATGGTTAAAAAGAACATGAGTTTCGATAAACCTGCCTAGATTTATAAAAACTATCTAAAAGAACAAGAATAGAAGTCTAAAATTACACTTCAAAATTCACTATCCCAAACTACTTTGAATGCTAGCAATTTGAAAGAGAAGATAGCATTTAAAAACCATCTAAGATTATTCAACGAAGATTCAACTTTCATTGAGGAATTCAATAAGTTATAGGACTAGCTAGATAGTGAGAAAAACAAGAAAACTAACAAATAATCAGGAGGGGACAATGAACCTACAGTGATCCTTAATTGCTTCAAAAGTTTAGAGTAAGAATTTGGAAGAGATGATGTTCAGACATTCGAAAAGATAATTAAAGGATTGTTAAATGATCATATTCATGTTGAAGATATAGTGTCTAAGGAAGAACTGGATAAGGCTATGAACCAGAAAATGTATGCAGGGTTCTCAATGGCACCTCAAATCAGATCATAAATAAAAGATGTGATCAGAGACGAATATGATATCGACCTGGAAGACTTAGAGGCAATTCTTAAGGATAAGAAATATCTTAAATCAGTCAATGTCCTTTATAAAAAACATCTAAACAGCTATAAAGACTAATTTAAACAACTCACCAAACTCCAAAGAAATGCAAAGAGTGATGACTATGCCAGTGTTATTGAAGAGTTCAAGAACTATAGGATAAATTAAAAGCTTTAGGATATAAGAGAGGCTGAAAGAAAAAGTTCAAACATATTTGTGGACAATGAGGATCCCAGTATTGAGGAAAATCAGTCTGAACTTAAAATAAAGAAGACCAATGAGAGATATACAGCCTTTATAATATACATGGCTATTCAAGAAATGATCAAGTAGATATTTGTGGAGTGTAGAGACAAGGGTAAACTGCTCTTGAAGCTTTTTAGAAAGTACTTTGATGAGCAAGAGAAGAACTGGTTCAGTATTATTCAAGAGCTCTGCCTTAATATCACTAAACTTAAGACTGATAGATCATTCATGCTGAATAAGTTCATTGATAAGAGAAACTAGACTATTTACAATCAGTTTATCAAAGATGACTTAAAGACAATAGTTGATGATAAGACTGTTAATGAGGAAAATCTAGTGCAGCACAAAAGACTGATTATGGAACTTATAGGCTATGTCAACAGAGAAGAAGATGAACGATATCTGATGGAAGTCGAAAAGAGAAATCTTGAATAGGATGTTAAGGATGTGATTTACTCCTGGGACTTAGTCCGATCAAATATGGAATTCAAAGAAAGAATCAGAAAGGTGAACACAATGAAAATAAAAGAGGACTTTAATTTGATGGAAGAGGTAAGAACTATGAGAAAAGATGATCAAGCCATATTAGTGAATCTTGAAAGAATGAGAACAGCATTGTCAACAGGTAATGTCTAATGGGATTTAGAAAAAATCTAGCTTGAGGGCTAAAACCATTTTTACAAGGAGGAGAATCAGATTATGAAGTAAGAAATGAAGAAGTTGAGAGAGCAATATGAGATTAGCTAGGAAACACTTCAGGAGAGATCCAAAGAGAACTTCGATTTGCAGCAAAGACTAAAAAAGTTCACTTCACATCTGGATATCATAGAGAAATCCCATGCTGAAATCTAGACAGATGTCAGCTTCAAGAATGAAGAATTCACTACATCATTAGACTAGATTCTCAAGAATAAACTCGATAACTAACTTAAAAAGATTACAAAGTTGATGAATAAGGCTAAAGCTAATGTCAACAGATATCAACCTATGTCTAAATAGGAAATGATGGATCTCATTTAGGGAGTTTATATTAAAAAATCATAGGAGATAAATACGAAAAATGAGCTTCACAAGGAATTCGATGACTTTGTGTACTCAATAATGATCTAAAGATTCGGTACAAAGAAGAAAGCTGATCATAAGGGTCAAGAGTTCCTGTTGGCTCTGAAGAAATACTCAAAAGAGGATGAAAGAGTAGATTTCTTCAAAAAATTCATAGGGTTTGAAGAGGCTAATCCATATAGCAGAGAGGTACTTGAATTTTACATTATGCTTATGAAAGCCACTAATGAGTCCATTCAAAATATTATTAGTGTTCCTCCTGATGGCTAAACTCAAACACCATGCGAAAAGATATGGATTGAATTCCAATAAGCCTTTGAGAAATATGTTAAAGTATTCAATAACTCATCATCCAATTTGAAAGAAGAACTCAAGAAACACTTGATATTCGACTGTGAATTAATAATTGAAAACTAACCAAAGATAGAAATCAAGCTCAATGAGAAATGGGAACTCTACTGTCTTTTAGTGTTCTTGAAAAATACAATGAATTAGAATTCTATTGCTGGAAATATAGAGCAGGCCCTAATAGAGTAACTAAATATTGACGAGGAAAATAATTTGACTTGTGCAGTTGAATTCGAAATATTCAAGTAGCACTTTATAAAAATGCTGGGTCATGAAGATTCTACCATAGTTCTCTCTGTAATCAATATAGATGACTTGTTTAAGAAATATTTTGGAGTCCTATGTTATGTTGAAGAAAACGACTTGCTCTATAAGGGAAAGATTATGATCAAGATAAAGGGTCTTAAAAAGATATTCAGAGAAAGATACGATTTCAAGATAACTTTGAGGAAATTTATGGATCTGGGAATGAAGATGTCTATCAGATTCTCAGAGGAAGCAAAGGAGTACTATGGCAAAATCTTTAAGGTCTTTGACTCAGATGGTGATGGCTACATTACTTTCAAGGAATTCAGAAAGATCATCAAAAAGGTTGACCCTATAAGATCTGATTGGAAGATTCATGCTATTTATTAGAAAGCTACAGGAGTAGATGACTCTGATAAAGGTCATCTAAGATTTAATGAGTTCATTAAATGCGCTATGAACAATGTACTAATGGAGAAAATGATCGATTGGGAGAAAGTACTTTTAGAGGAGAAAGATGACTAAATCAAATCCTCTATGAGTATTAGCATTGCATAAATTGCAAAATCCCAGACAAACCAAACTGCAGGTAGGAATAGTAAAAATGTTAAAATGAAGCTAAGTACTCTCTAAGTGGCGAATCAGTCAAGTTCTGCTCTGAATTCAGGGAGATCAAAGAATTCTGCTTCAATTATTAGGTCATAACAGACATAAAACTTATGAGGACAAAGTTACTTATTAAAACTGAATATTAACAATTTTTTATTGAAAATTTGATTTCATAAGCTATTTCATCGGGGTTTTGGGGTTTTGGGGTTTTGGGG